GGGGAGAAGGGCTGGAAAGGCATGTGGCGAGGAACCCCACAAACTGACTCGTAATCAGAGTCGGACACCCGTAAGGAATCGCAACCTTCGCACCCCTTCCCTTTTCTGCATCTTTTCCCCGTTCTGATAAAATACGGACACGTGTCCCACTTCTCTGACCAGCACTCATACTCTGAGAGCGCCATATTCTCCTTGAGCATCTCCCTGTAGCCTTCCTTCTCCACCTCTCCTTCGTCCTCGCTGGTGCTGCTCCTGCTCTGAAAGTCCTGCAGATGTCTATGGCAGTAGTTTTGGCGCACCCACTGTCTGATTTTATCCCTCTCCTGCGTCAGCTTCTGAAGGCGCTCAGACGAAAGCACCCTCACCCTGGCTATGACCGTGTCAAACTTGAACACGCGTTCTAGCAGGCACACGCATTTGCCACATATAAACTCCCCCTGCCCGCCGCCCCGTGGTACAGACTGGCCCAGTATGTGGGTCAACACCGTGAGCAGATCCACGCTCTTGGAGGGGGAGCTCACGGACATCAGGGACTTGGAGAGAGAAACGGAGGAACCAAGAGATAATGTGCTGCCTGTGAAGAGAAACAAAATGTTTACTTTTACATTTTTACAATATGTTAAGCATTTTTTAAGCTCTATACTCACCCCAGGAGCTGCTCTGTGATGACTGGGACCGGGTCCCTCCTCTCAAGGACCCTGTTGGGGTCTGAGGCTGACCAGCTTTCTTATTCTGGCCCCCAAACAGCCACCGCCGTTGGTTTCCCTGGAGAGCTCCGCCACATATTTGGCACTGGTCCTTTTTACTTCTGGAGGACATCTTGGACAGATGGATGGACTTCTTCCCCTTGTTGTCCAATAGATGAGGAAACTGTAAATTAAAGCAGAATTTAGCTCAAATGTTTCATACAGACACTGATGGAAATTCTCATCATTTACTACTGAAGGCCTGGTGTTGTGAACACTGTGTGATCAATATTATTATATACATTGATTATTATATATTATTATATATATATAATATAGAACAAAGTTTGCTTTTGAACTATACACATAAGCTGGATCCATTTCCTTTTTGGCCTGGAGGGCAAATATTCCATGATTTTCAAACACAATTTTGGATTTTGATTGATCAGACCACAGAAAGCTTTTACTTCCACCCACTCCATCACAAACGAGGCCCAGAGAGGGCTGCTGGGGTTCTGGCCTCTTTTTGTTTT